ATGTAAGGAGAAAAATAAATAGATTAATCTGGAATAGAAGAAAATTGACATGCAATTGCTTCCTTCTTCAGGGAAAAGTGGCTGAATTTCTAGTGAAGTGAAAAAAAATTCAAATGATAAAATTCTACCCTCACATGTCAATGTTAATATTTAGATTAAGAGGAATAAGACCAGTAGAGTTTTATCCTAATAATTTAAGTGGATTAAAAAAAAACCTTTGATATGTAAAAGATGGCATTTGAAGTCTTATTAATAATAGCAAAAATATTGGAAACAAATTTTAGAGTGAAATTATTAAACAAACTTCACCACAGCCAAAAACTATTAAAATAAAGATTTCCAAAACAAAAAAAGTTCATGAAATAATGTGAACGAAAAAGCAAGCAAAACAACACACAAATTATACATGCACATACATATTTTTATAATCATCTTAACATAACCTATGTATGTACATTTTGTACATGTACATTTTGTTCAGGAACATTTTGGTATGATTACCAAAATGTAGATATAGATAAGCAGAATATGAAAATCATGTTGAGAATAATGGAAACAAAGATGAAATTTTTCTATCCCCATTTCCTCTAGTATAATATGGTGGTTTTAAGAAGAAACAACATGGATAATATTTTGTGTGTGTGTGAACTCTGGCATGTTTTTGTTTTTTGTATAGGTATATTTTTAATACGAAGAAAAGAAACACCACTGAATGCAAGTTACTTTGCTAGGTAATATTTTCCCATCAAATTAACGAAAATTGATCAGGCATGGTGGCACATGCCTGTAATTCCAGCACTTTGGGAGGCCAAGACAGGTGGATTGGTTGAATCCAGAAGTTTGAGACCAGCCTGGGAAACATAGTGAGACCCCTATCTTTAAAAAAATACAAAAATTAGTTGGGCATTGTGGTGCACACCTATAGTCCCAGTTGTTCAGGAAGCAAAGGTGGGAGGATCGCCTGAGCCCAGGGAGGCGGAGGTTGCAGTAAGCCAAGATCGTAACACTGCACTCCAGCCTGGGCAACAGAGCAAGACCCTGCCTCAAAAAAAAAGGAAAGCAAAAATTAAATTTGTTGGCACTCAATACTAATGAGAGAGAGAGTAATAGGCAGTCTCATGTGTAATTGGTTGGGAAGCAAATTAGGACTATTTTTGGGCAAGGCCATATGGCCATCTCTATCACAATCTTAAAGGTACATAACCATTGATTCTATCAATCCTCTGGTAGGAATTTACCCTATGACTGCAAAAGCACACCAAAATTTATGTACAAAGATATTTACTGCACCTTGTTTGAATTGCCAAAACTGGAAATAACCTAAACATGAATCAAGGAGAGGTTATTTAGGAAAATTAAGGTAAAGACATATAACTGAATACAATCTAGCTCTTAAAACTGAGGCAGAAATATGAACCTTTTAGGGGTGTTGGAAATGTTGTTATTTAGATTATAGTATAATTACTTGTCAAATTTTATAGGATTATACACCTAAAAAGGGCAATGTTACCTTATGTAAATTATACCTCAGGGCCAGGCACAGTGCTCACACCTATAATCCCAGTACTTTGGGATGCTGAGGCTGGAGAAGTGCTTGAGCCCAGGAGGTACAGACCAGCCTGGGTAATACAGTGAGACTCTGTCTCTACAAGAAAAACTTAAAAATTAGCTGAATATGGTGGTGCAAACCTGTGCTCCCAGCTTCTCAGGTGGCTGATGTGGGAGCACTGCTTGAGCCTGGGAGGTCAGAGCTGCAGTGAGTTGTGACTGTGCAGCTGGACTGCATTCCAGCCTGGGTGACAGAGGGAGATCTTGTCTCAAAAATAAGATAAAATAAAATAAACAACATATATACAACACACACACACACCCTCAGTAAGCCTGCCTTTTTAAAATATAAGCGCAAAAACAAAGTGTAATATGGTTCCATTTGTATAAAATAAAACTTAAGCTAGTAACAGTTTTTTAGAAAGAAGAAATGGTATGGGAATAAGAAAGTGGCATTTACCCTTCTATACTCCTGAACCTTTTTATTTGAGACAGGGTCTCACTCGATTGCCTGGGTGAGTGCAGTGGGAATTTGAGCACAGGAGGTGGAGGCTGTAGTGAACTGTGATTGTTTGAGCCAGGCTTCCCAGTAGCTGGGACTACAGGCATGCACTACCATGTGTGGCTAATCTTTTTATTTTTTGTAGAAATGGAGTCTCCCTGTTGTCCAGGCTGGTCAAATACTTCTTAACATGTGCTTTTATAATTTCATTTAATGGCACCTACTTTTGGTGTCCCTCTATTCAAAACTCAAGGGAATGATTGATATCAATTAATGCCTTCATTTGCCAGTAGAACAAACCAGTGCCTGTGGTCCCAGAAAATGTACCTCAGATAGTCAGCAGGGAGGTTTTCACTGATAGCTCTCACACATGGTATGGATGCATTAAGTTTGAGGATATTGTGGGTTCTGTAAAGTGGCAAACCATAAATAAAAATTTAATCTCAATTATTATTTCATAGAAAAATCATTAAGTGCCAAACACGTGGTTTATTAATTCCAAATATATGCGTAAAGAATGCCGCTACACTAAATTTGATGATTTCATTTCTGAGGTACAGAATTTCAGGATACAATCATTCCAGGCTCTTTGTGATTCCCCAAATGTGAAAATTCCAAGAATGTAGTATTTGTAATACTGAAAGAATTAATGTGGACTGAATGGAAAATTCACCCAGGTAACAAGAGTTTTTGTAGCCTAGTTCCTAGACGTTATAGTACTACAAACATCTCCCTAAAGGCTCAAGATTTTAGTACTAAAAATTTCTTGCTGATGAAAGACTAAGCATTTTTTCAAATAATTAAACTTCTCAGAATCAAGCCCCTTTAAAAATAGAAGAAAAGAAAGAAAGGGAAAAAAAAAGGGAAGATAAAATTCTGAACAGCACCAAATCTGCTTCAGGCACTACAAAGTCCACCACAGGCACAAAGTGTGGCCCTGCAGGGGACTGACAGGAGTCTACAGGTAGAGTGCGGTGGGTGTGCACAATCCTCACTAGGATGGCGGAGCTCAAAGAAGCCAGTGACATGGGCACATGTAAGATTCAGCAGTAAGACTTGGAGGTACAACTGCAAAATTCTATAATTAAGATTCCAGTTGTAGATCACTATATAAAGAAAAGACCATTATAAATCTGTGTGGTATTCCCTCAGGAGGCAAATACCTAAGAACTTAACCTGCATTGTACCATACGGCACCTTTTAGCCATATGTGACTGTGTAAATTCGTTTTAGAGTTAAAATTTTTGTTTCTAAGTCGTATCAGTGACATTTCAAGTACGCGATAGTCACATATGACTAGCAGCTAGAATATCAGACTGGAGAGATACAGAATACTTCCATCATCGCACACAAGAAAAAAACCCTATTGGACAATAACTGGCCTTTAAAAACTGTCCCTTCAAATTTCCACAATCTTATTTTATCTCAGTTGTACAATAAACAGCAACAACAAAAAATTATCTTTAAATGATATTGGAGTTTGGGAAGACCTGCAAAACTATCCAGACCTCTAACTCTGCAGATGAAAACACAAGCTGGAAAGGATTAAGGCAGTGGTGGGAGGGGGCCAGACTGTCTTCCTCCTCATCCAATCCTATCTTCACCTCACTAAATATAACATCCAAATGAAGTGGATAGTCCCTTTTGTTCCAATCACAAATCAACTTTCACTTTCTCAACTGTAACTGAAGAGCTTGTACACAACAACTTCTGTACTCCTTTCCACCTTAGAACTATACAAGAAAATAATTTAGGGATAAATACATAATGATTTTGACTATTTAATAAGTAAACATTGTTTCTGAAGACCAGAGTCTTGTTCAGAATAAAGGAAAGTGGCAACCATAACCTATCTCCATCAAAAGATATTCCACATATTGAGTTACTTTTAGATAGTAAGCATTCAGAACAATGAGTGTGCATCATTTCTTAGCTATCTAGCAAAGCATTCCCTCAGGGTCCTAGCTAAATGACCAATGACAGAATTAGCATCTCCTGGAGACAGGTGACCTGTATCTAATATGCCAGAAATGTTAACTTACTACTTTATAATAATTATTTGCAGAAAGCGACCATTAATGCATTAAAATGTACAGAAAACAGGAAGTAAACTATTTCACGGATTCTACTTGTTCATTCCTTCATATATTTATGTACTCTTCCACTCATTCATTAATTCAAAATAAATGTGCATGATGCCATTTATTGAGTTTCTATTATAGGTGCTCAACCTCTCAAATATGTGGTCACCAAACAAAATGAGGCCTGAATATCGGAGGAGTATTTGTAGGGTTACATAGTGCTAGAACAATAGCTTTTTAAGAAATACTTAGAATAAAAGTCTTTTGAAACACGATTGAAATTAAGCTTTGAAAAAACACTAATGCATTTTTAAAGACCTTTCTCCACAAAATAAAAACAAAAAACTCTCTCTCCCTTTTAAAATATGCTATGTAATCACCCTTGAAATAGCAAGGTATAGAATGCAAACAAGATAATTTTCCTAATGAAAAAATGCTTAATGTGTTAAAAAGAAAAAGAAATTCTAGAAATAAAATGCTAAGAATAACATGATAAATGGTTTAGGCATTAGATACTTCGTGAACATACATTCTAGACTTGCTTTGTAGACAGGGAAGCCTTGTTGTTCATTATTTCCTATCCCAGAACTATAAAGTGCAGTGCAGTGAAGGCTAGAACCAGTAAGGGCAAAAGGTAGGTTTTGTTTACTATTCCCTTAAAGGAGGTTCCCTGGCTTCTGTGAAACTGGATGTAAACGTTGTGCCCTGTGCATTTTTCTCAGGTCCTGACCCCTCCACCTCACGGAAGCTAAGGAACCTGTCACCCCAAACAGGTAAATAACCCTGTCTTGAGAGAGTCCATAGGATCCCAAAGCTCGGTGAACAGTCTGAAAACCAATACATAATAAGTTTTATTTGAAGGTCAGAAATAGTGTTCATGTTCCCATTTTATTTTTCCTGGATCAGGCCATTTTATGAACAAATCTTAAGAAAAATTTCTTTTATACAAAACTTACAAAAAGCACCAAGATTCTCTAATACAGGAAGAAAAAAGGCAAACAAAGAATTCAAGTACCATCTTGTACAACATTAACAGAACTCTTACTCAACAAAATGTGTTAAACATTAACAGCAAACTCAGGCGACTTCCAGCCACAGGAACATAAAATGTAACAGATCAGTTTAAGGCAAAGGGTATATGAGTACCCATGGTCCATAGCCAGACAATCCAGTTGGACAGAGGATTTAAGATTTTAAAAAAGCATACGTAATCTGTGTAGGTCAAGGAATAAGCAATTTATTAGCATTTTAACCTCCTTTAATGCAAAATGATTTTCACCACGACCCAACAGTCAACAGCAACTTGGAGTGATTACTATTAGTCATCTTTGTTGTCCAAATCTAGAAAGTTACATCAGTGAAAAACTATAGAATTAAATGGGAAGTTAATTCCGGAAAGTGGGTATGTCTAAGCAGGGCAGTGTTTTCACAACGTATGTTTCAAGCAACAGTGCATAGAATCACAGGTGAAGGGGTTCGGCAAAGAAGCTGAGCAATGCTGAATTTTAAAATAAGTTTCTTTCCCAGTCTGAGAGCCTTCAGTCCCTTCAATATGTCCATTATTACAAATCTGTGGGAGAATTTGGTCACAAGTCTTCTTTTCTCAGAGTTCTTTCAAGTCCGCCAGAAGGCTGATTTTGGAAATGTGAAACACTAGTTTCCTACATTTGTCTGGCAATGATAAACCTAAATTCAGGAGAGTGGACACCTCTGGGGGAGGAGGAGGAGACTAGGGAAGGGCATGTAAAGGGGCCTTTAACCTTTCATCTGTAATGTGTGTTTCCTCACTGAAAATTCAGAAATGAGTGTGGCAAAATATAAGGATTTGATGAGAACAGAGTGGTAGCATGTAAGTGTTTTTCAAGTTATAAAAAATTTTGAAATGTATAGTGTCAGGAGCAACCAATACACAAACATAAAACAGCAAGCTCAAATGGATAGTGGTAGATGCACCATCCATCTGCCAGTCTCTATTTAAGTCACATATTTACCTTGCATATGCAAGTAAAATGGTTTCTATTGATTTGTAACAACTTGTATTTACATGGAAGACCAACAAAGACTAACCTAAAAGAAACGGTCAAGTTGGTTAGAAATTGAAATTAGGTATACAACTCATAAGATTAGTGCCATGTAACTACTTAAGTACTTCTGGCATCAAAGTGAGCAAATTCTTACGACTCTATGGTAAAATATGTAACTGTTGGGTCAAATAAAAAGATATACAGGTATAAGTTTTGCTGAAACTTACATATCAGGCTGCTGTTAAACTCTTAGAATAATGTGAGGAAGGGTATAAAGGGGAAGTGCACAATTTCCATTTGAGTCAAGTTTAAAGGCTGTATTTAGAAAAATCTTGAGGATAAGGAAATGTAGAAAAGCAGGTAATCGATATATTTCCAAAACACTGCCTGAGGGTGTAAAAAATGTGTGTCAATCTTCTATATTCTTCAGTTATAATAACCAGATAGAAGTAATTTTGCAGTGTGTTTTTGTGCTAACCAGCAAATTCTCCTTTTTAATTTATGTTTTTTAAAGGCTACTTTGCAGAGTATTCATCAAAGATGCTTAAAGGAATGGAGCAACCAAATATTTTTCAACCTCATTTCTGTTGTATTCGTTCAATTCCTTGATGTTCACATCAATATCATATAGAGAACTTCAGCCATTTGTCTGAGACAGGAGATACCAGTGTTCCATGTGCAGAAACCAGCAGCAAAGTCCATTGTAAGAAAAAGCACTCTGAGGTATGCGTGTATACATATGTGTGTATGTTCAGGCACAAGTAATTCAACAGTCACAGGTTCTCTAGTAAATATTTCTGCAGATATTCATAATTCAGTAGCAATATATACAGTCAAGGAAAGCAGCATATAGTCATCACTTGAAAAACTAGAAAAATGCAAAAAGAAAAGACATTCAAAAGACTGATGGGAGTTTGGCAATACCAAGACTATCAAAAAGGCCAGCACCTATGCTACATTAATAATAGAGGTATTAGTGCCAGCAGACAACCCAGACCAAGAATAAAGAGAAGCCAAGACTGACGGCCCTAGTAAAGAAGAAAACACAGAAACAAGAACAGAAACAAAAGATGTTTTAAGTGATACTTATGGAGCACTTCCACAGTAGGCAGTCCTTCTGAAAGCAAGGTAAAGAGGTAAACAAGTTCACTTTCAGTTGGCCAGATTAAGGATACAGTTCTTTTTGAGAGTTTAGAAACATAAAAGCAACAAATAATCCTTGTCAAAGCAGAAGGGTAGTGATCCCAGAGCCATCCAGAGCATCAACTGTACTTTGAATCTGTGTTTTGCCAGAATCTTCTTGGGCGTATTCACACACTGTTGGTAAATGAGCCTCCCTAAACCTTGTCCACCTACTCCCCTCTTGGGAGAAAAGGAAGTAACAATAGCAGTGATGAAAACCTATCTCTATCAAAACAAGAAGAGTACATGAACTCTTAAATACTGTGGAGGCAGGTATCTATCTATCATATGAGCCCTAGCAGACTGCATAATTTCCAGCTAAAACTAAGATTTTTCTATTAATGAGTAATCGGAGATAACACATGCTCCAACTGGATCTTGACAAACATCTCCATTTCTGCTTCAAAGAAAAATGTAATCTGAGAAAACTTCCAACTGGGAGCTGGTTATGTTAAAAAATTCCCACCATAATAAAAATTCCCATAAAATATCCATTTAGTCCCTACTGATATAAGCAAATAACAATAAACAAGTAAGTGGGCCAGGCACAGTGGCTCATGCCTGCAATCCCAGTGCTTTGGGAGGCTGAGGCAGGTGGATCACCTGAGGTCAGGAGTTCAAGACCAGCCCAGCCAACATGGGAAAACCCTGTCTCTACTAAAAATACAAAAATTAGCTGGGTGTAGTGGCATGCACGTGTAATCCTAGCTACCCAGGAGGCAGAGGCAGGAGAATTGCTGGAACCTGGGGCGGGGCAGAGGCTGCAGTGAGCCGAGATTGTGCCACTGTACTCCAGCCTGGGTGACAGAGTAAGACTGTGTCAAAAAATAAATAAATAAAATATAAATAAATGGAGAACAGTCAAGTCTCCCATGCATAAGAATTCCATATAATTTACACAGTTATGCCACCTGAAAAGAGGGGTGTAACACTCCACTCCTTAAGTGTGGGCTATATATTAATATCATGACTTTATTCCAGAGTACAGCATGAAAAGAGGGAAACAAGAGTAGCTGTTGTTGAAGAAATTTGACAAACTCTATTCTCTAGCAGATGATCAAGATCAACATCAAGTCATAGATAGTATACACCCATGACATGGTATGATGAAAATGGCACTTTACCTCTGTGATCTTCCTCTCAAAACCGACAATCCCCAGGCTACTCACGAGAAAAATGGTAGATAAATCCCAACTGAGGGGCATTCTGCAATATACTATAGCACTTCTCATCAACACACTAGCTGCAAGAAGAGAGTGGGGCTACTCAGGGCATACTGCCTATGGGTTGACTAGTCCTGCTCTGCAAGCAGTCACTCTGTAAATAATTTTCTTGATTAAAAAGAAGAGGAGAAGGGAATATAATCTTCAAAGTGCTGAAATGGGAGGAAAAGATTTGAATCAAGCATTAAAAATCTAACCAGTCCCGTTATAATGTAAACATGAGCCAGGCTCGGTGGCTCTTGCCTACAATCCCAACACTTTGGGAGGTCAAGGTGGGCAGATCACAAGGTCAGGAGTTTGAGACCAGCCTCCTGACCAACATGGTGAAACCCTATCTCTAATAACTTTTTTTAAAAAATGTAAACACGAAATAAAAGACACATAAGAACCTTAAAAATTTTTGCCCACAGATCTCAGAAAAAAGATCTTACCATTCCAGAAATATGAAAAATCAAGGAATACATATTAGGAAAATCCAAACCAGTTCAAATTAAACTTAACATATCTTAACAATACCAGTATCTCCTTGTGAAGGTGTTTAAAATCTGCCATGTTCTTGTTCTTTATTGAATGAATGAGAAAATGATGAGAGAGCAAAAAAAAAAAAAAAAAAAAAATAGACCTATATACACATCATTTAAAATCTAAAACTATGTTATTCAGGAAAACAGACTAATGGTTTATTCCACTTTCCTCTATGAGCCAGGACCAAGAGTAAATCACAAAAATTCTCATTTCCACTTTCTACTATAATTTTCCCCCGTAAGAAGAGAATAACCAAAGGATGAAAGTAGCTGTGTCCAATGAAAGCAGAAGTACAGTGTCGAGTCAGTTACATTTGGAATCAAGAAAACAGTACGTTAAATATAATTCAAATAGGTATTAGGTTCAGTGCTTATATGCTACAAAATGGCTAATAGTAAAAAATTTCTAATAAACTGGATGTGTTTAAATCTCAGATGTTACTAGTTATGTCCTTATGTCATCTACTTAACTCTTGTTAAGCCTTAATATTTACATGTATAAAATGAAGATTCTTACCAAAAATTATTGGGTTGTTTCAAGAATAAAATATATGAAGCACTTAGCTTCATGCCTAGCGTATATTTTGAACATTTAATGAATAAAAGCCTTCATTGTGATCCAATCTCTGCCCTGAAAAAGTTCACCACGCGGACAGCTATTTCCATACAGACGTATTTATCCAGTAAGAGCTATTACTACTATGAACAGAGTATGGGAAAGCAGAAAATGGTTCGATGTGAGAGCGTGTTCCCAAAGTGAAACATCTGTAAAACTGTTAAATTTCAGTTTTCAAATGACTCTGGAAAAAATAACTCTGAATTCTGATTATGAACATTCACCCCCAAGTAATACACTTGATATAAATGCCATTTACCTCTCAGAACTAGAAAACTTAAAATGAGAGACCACCATTACATTCACTATGTTGAGTATGCTTTTTTTTTAAGAAAGACAATACTAAGACTTAGTATTTAAGTCAAAGTACTTAACGTAATACTCTAATGTAACTATTGATTCCACTAGACTACAACGCCGTCTCCAACACTGAGAAGATGATACCCCAATCACTTCCTTTTTACAGTTCCCTCTACATTTTCTGTGTTGTTAAAGATCATTAACTCATTTCAAAGGGGCAAAAAACCTACAGGAAAAATGCCAGGAAAGCTGTGGTGGCACATGTCTATAATCCATGCACTTTACACACACACACACACGAATTAGTAGCAGAGTGTCATGCTGCCCAATGATACACGGGCAGGGGCTGATGATGCAGGCTTGAGCCCAGGAGGTCAAGGCTGCAGTAAGCTGAGATCATGCCACCACACTCCAGCCTATGTGACAGAGTGAGACCCTGCCTTGAAAAAAGAAAAAGAGCTGGGTTCAACACAATCTTTCAATTATTTTAATTGATTACTTATCTCTAAATCCCCCAATGCCATGGATTACCTTAAGCTTCAAGTATACAATTAAAATTTCACTATGAAAGACTTACTAAGAAATGGAAAAATGATCGAAGTAAGGAGAATATAAGGACAGGTAAGAAAATTGTTTCAAGGTCACTAATGTGAAACGGGAATTGTGCTTCAGGATAAAATAATGATTTAATAATACCAAGTAAAATGAAATATGCAAGCCTCTTCCTAAATTACTTTCAAAGGTTTACAGAGGATGCACTTATTTCTCAAGACTGATATATACTGACCACAAATTTTAGAAAATTTTGAAAACACTTCAACCAAAACATGGGCATTCTCTAAAAACAGATGGGCCCTACCAGAGTAGAGAAAAATGAAACCCAAAATACACAGAAGACTATAGCTGTCAGCAACAAAGGTTGTGGCAAAGGCTCAGTGACAAAGGCTGTGATGAAATAATGAAGGTAATGACAGGAGGATTGTCCAGGTTGTCCCTCCTGACTTCCTGTTTCTGTAGAACAGCTGCTATCAGCCAGCCAAAGCAAATTACACAAAGCACATTTGTTACACAAAGCGCATTTCAGTCTGTGAGGAAACCCCAGAGTAGGATTTGAGGCTGAAAAGTAAAGCAGCACAAAGTTTGTGGAAATACCACAGGATGACCCTGAAAATGCAAAAAAGTAGGGGGTGGGGGTGCAGAATGGGAGAAGGAGAAAAAAGAGGAAAGGGGAGGGAGGGAGGAAGGAGAGTAAGACTAAGTACTCCACCTCAGAGTACAACCCACAACCCACTTACTTGACAAATGTGGCAGTGGCCTGTGCTTCTCCACTCACTTCATTAAACACACAAAAACATGCACATGTGTGTACACATGTACAAGCACACACATAGACACACAAATCCACAGTGAAGTGTTCGATCCAGGAGAGGACCTTCATAGGTAAGCAAACTTAACTGCAAAAGAATGCAAGATAGCTACTTGTACTAACCAATACAAACCACTATTCAAATATCTAGACAATCAAGGGTCGCTGGGCATTTGAGAAAAAGCAAATACCAGGAAAGACAAAGAAACAGATTATATGACTTTAGGGAAAACAAACAAGAACGAAAGATCAAACCACACATACACACAAGCATCTCAAATACTATATCCAAGGTTTTAAAGGGCATATTCCTTAAAAGTAAACCCACTACAAACAGGCCTCTTTATGAAAAACGAAAAGACCAGAGAACCACTAGAAATTCTTGAAAATTGATAAAAATAAAAATTTCGGCCCAGGCACGGTGGCTCATGCCTGTAATCCCAGCACTTTGGGAGGCTGAGGCGGGTGGATTACCTGAAGTCAGGAGTTTGAAATCAGCCTGGCAAACATGACAAAACCCTGTCTCTACTAAAAATACAAAAAATTAGCCAGGCATGATTGGCGGGCATAATGCCAGCTACTCGAGAGCCGTGAGCCAAGATTGCGCCACTGCACTCCAGCCTGGGTAACAAGAGTGAAACTCCATCTCAAAAAAATAAAAATAAATAAAAATAAAAATTTTGGCTGGCCAGTGGCTCAAGCCTGTAATCCCAGCACTTTGGGAGGCCGAGGTAGGTGAATTGCTTGAGCACAGGTAGTCTGAGAACAGCCTAGGCAACAAAAAATTAAAAATAAAATTATTTATGCATGGTGGCTCACACCTGTAGTTCCAGGTACTAAGGAAACTGAGGTGGGAGGATTGCTTGAGCCCAGGAGGTCACGGCTACAGTAAGCCATGACTGCACCACTGCACTCCCACCCAGGAGACAGAAGGAGACCCTGTATCAAAGAAAGAAAAGAGAAGAAAGAAAAGAAATCACCAGACAGGCTGAAAACCAGACTGGGCATGAATGAAAACTAAATTAGTATTCCGGAAGACAAACAGAAATCTCCCAATACTTAGAGAAAGGGCAGAACACAAAACATGTAAGAAAAAATAATGATAGATAAGACAGCTCCAAACAGCCCAACAGTCATCTCCTAAGAATTCCGTAAGACAAGCAGAGACAATGGAAACAATAATCAAAGCAAGAAAAATCCTTTGAATGGAAAAAGGATAAGACTGCAGATGATGCTATGCCAAGAAAGATAAAGTTTAAAATATTCGTACCTATACCCAGTTTAAAAAAAAAAACCTCAGAGATCATTCAGAAAACATTCAGTGAGGAAAATCAAGATACACACAAAATAATGAGACTCAGGATTATATCTGACTTTTTACCAATAAAACTGATAGAAGATAATGAAGGATGTAAAAATTCAGAGGGCAAAGGATCTCAAACCAAGAATTCAAACCCAAACTATGAGTCGAGTATGATGGTAATTAAATACCTTTCCAGACTCAGTAATTTTTATTTACCACGTACATGCTGTTTCTGAGAAATCTATTTGAAGATTTTTCAACTGAACTGAAAAAAAATGAGTGAACTTAGAAGAATGACTTTAAAAACAAAAACTATTTACTCAAATTGAAGTAAATAGGTTTACTGAAAACCTAAAAATTTGCTATGATAAAGACTTTAGTGACATTAATTTTTTAAAAAGAAAATGTAACTAGAAATTGCAAGACAAACTAACGTGAATTAAACTATCGCATTATTTTCAACAGTTGATAGCATCACAGACTTCACAAAAAAGCAGCTTACTTGATCTCGACACTTCCACGAAGAACAGCTTTTCTTTAACTGCCACAAGATTATCATTCTTTCTGTAAGGCCCCATTATACTACTTGGTTCTGTTATCATAGTATCATTCATAGCAGAAATGCTATCTTCTTTGTTCTCATTGTTTAGAATTTTAAAATATGAAGAAAACAGAAAGTAACCATAATTCAAGAACAGAATAAAAGTGGCTTAAAATCCCTGACAATTCAAATGGCAGAAGTGGAAACACACTGAGAGACACAGATTTCCTTCTGTAACCTAACGGTGAGCCAAGGAATATTGGCTGAAGTTGGTGGGCCCCTTAAAAATAAAGGTTTAAGAACATTTAAGGCAATAAAGGAAACCAGTGAAACTACAGTTCATTATGACAAAAATGAGGAAGGAGGAGGCATGGTCGGTGGTGTGAACAACACTAATTTCCTCACCTTTCATGACAGAAAGAGACACTGCGTCAGACAGATATACCAAAATAGTATGTGAAATTCTGATAACCATAAGAATAGAAACAATTAGTTTTAAGAAATCACCTCTAGGGAGAGGTAAAAAAAATTGGCAGATTTTTAAATTTCAAATTCCATCCCTCTGTGGTGCAGGAGGAAAGACTTTTTACCATGTGTGCATATTATTAGTAATTTTTAATAATAAGGTTAAATATTTAGGTGGTGACCATTTCCTAAAATGTTAAACCTGTGTCATTTTCAGTTTAGCTAGACGACTTTCTTAAACTTCATCATTAATGGCTTCCTGGACAATGAAGACAACTCATCTTCCAAAAGTTTAAATGTTTATATTCTTCACTTCATTGAGTTTATTCTTAGGAGCCTACCCAAAAGGAAAATTTACATAAGTGGCACAAATACAAAGGTATGAGGACACTTAGTGCACAACTGTGTCTTGGTAAAAAACTTACTGAAAATCCCAAAGGCCTATCAGCAAGGAATGGTTAAATAAATTACAGTAAATACATACAATCAAAAAGGCTAGAGTAGTAATGATACAGAAAAATCACCTTAACATACAGTGTAGTGAGAAAAGCAAATAGCAAAAGAGTATATGTAGCATAATCTCCTTTCATGTAGTGATTTTTAAAAGTATCTTTTTGTGTGTGTGTGTATATATATAGGAGGTCTAAAAAGATACATGCCAAGCTATTAACAGAACAGTGTTTACCTCTGAAAGTAAAATTGGGAAGTAAGAGGGGAAAGAAATTGACTTCTTGCTTCTAATTGAACCTTTTATGAATGTTTATTAACTCTGTAAAAGAAAGAAATTCTCAAGAAAAACAACCCTTAAGTTAATCCCACCCAATTATTTCCTTACCTTTCCACCCTTCCATTCCCCCAGTACTCTTGCACCACAGATCTCAGCCTTCCATATGGCATATTGTGTAGGTGTAAATTCACCTTAAAACTGTCTCCAATTCTTAATTCCATGCAATTCATAGAATGTACCTTTCGCCATGCATGACTGATGAAAAAAAATGCATCTCAGTGTTTCACTTGGTCTTCGGCTTGATTGGTTAGAGAATGGCACTGCTAATGAAGCCAGGTTGCAAGTGAGATCCCCACATACATCAGTTATTGTTACGCAGTCAGCTTGCCTTTGTATTTATCTTCCTGATCACAGGATCAGATACAGAAAGATCAAAGTAAATCCATTTTCACTAGTGGAAACACTTCTTTAAAATACATACTGAAAGCATCCTTCAGTGGCATGGTTGCTGCATTTTGAAGAACACATTTGTGTATATGTACGACCCAGAGTTTATTTGTACAACCCAGTCAAGCACACAGAAATCACAAAACTGTGCTATTGTTCCTTCCCAGAGAGACTTCTGGTTAGCCAGATACCTGCAGCAGCATTCTCTGTGCTCTTTGGGACCAATGTGACGCTGGAATATGTGGGACCATGAAGTTCCCAGTGTCTGGTCCATACTTCTCATCTTCAACCAACACACTGAACACAAAATCAAAGCAATGTGGCAGAGTGAAGGTTTCTCACCCTTAACTTTACCTAAAGAACAGTTTTTCTTTCATTACTCCTTTATAGAAACAACAACAATGAAATTCAAAGACTGAATAAAAACAGATTAAATGAGGACTTGTAAAGCAGTTTGGTTATATAAATATTTCTAACAATGAAGTATTACTGATTTTGATCCAACTTAAAATGCCTACTAAAAATGTCCAAATAAACAGCTCATACGACAGACATATCATTTTCTGGTCTTCATATTTTTTCAAGATATTGTAAACCTAGCAAAAAGTACCAACAGAAAGAATACTCTGCTCCAAATCTACAGAGCAACTCGGTATGTTACTCTGTAACATCAAACATGAATTTACCTAACCAGAACTCAAAAAACAGCACGATTCTCAGGAAATATTCAAATATATTATCTACTCAAAAAACAATCTGCAGCTGGGCATGGTGGCAAGCTCCAGAAGTCCCAGATACTCGGGAGGCTGAAGCAGGAGAATCACTTGAGCTCTGGAGTTCAAGGTTGTAGTGAACTATGATTATACCACTGCACTCCAGCCTGGGAGACAGAGTAAGACCCTGTCTCTCAAACATAAAATAGTTAAAAAAAAAAAAAAAAAAAGCAAGCAAAGGCAATGAAGAGCACTCTGGGTGCATGGGGAATGCAGAGTGTGAAGGATTGCCTTCTGGAACTCCTGTGGCTCTGAGATGATAGTGGAAATAAAATATGAAGACTTACATAAATAAAGCTTTAAAAAGTAGTCATAGTTCTATTTCAATATAATGTTATCTATTTAAATGTGGCTTACATTTTATCAATAACACTTTTAAACCTAAAAATCACTACTGAAAATAAGATAATCATATTCCAATCCTAATTCTTGATCCAATAATATCCTCCCATAAATGCCTTTCCTTTAATACCTTTCCTTTAATGCCTCTTCTAATCAATTCCAATCTCCTCTTAAATTAAGTAAAACATGTTATTTTCTGTACTCCTACCTTGTCTTTTAGCGTCTTTCCTTGACATGTTTTACTTTAGCAACAAACATTTGCTTCATCCTGCACTGTGGGGAGTATGTTTGTGGTCCTCACAACAGCCCTGTGAGGTAGGTATTATTAACTCTGCTTTACAGACAAGGAAAGGCAAGCTGAGAAAGACTAACTTGACCAGTGGCAAATCGGGGATCCAAAGCCAAACCTACTGATTCTCAAATGAGTGGTGTTTAAAGTTCCCCAGAGGAAAAAAAAAGATTTTGCCAAGCAGAAACTACGACTGTAGCTTGTCATTAGAAGCAGCTAAAGAGGAGGTTTAACATTAATAATTTCTTTTTTGTCACTTGACCATTGTAAACAGTAATTGCACTATATTCTTCTATCATTACATTTTAAAGTTAACAATACACAGAAGTTATCCTTCTCTTTTTATAGAAAAAAAATACTAATTACAAATAGACTTGCACTCATCACTGACTATAAAGAGACACTGTAAACTGGAACTATTCAACATCAATCCTGGTAAATGGATGGTTATAAAAAAACATAAATGTAAATATGATTATAGAAGATGATTAAAACCAGTGAATTTTGTGGAGATCAAAAAAGTGGGTTTCTGCCCAAACAGATTTAGTTTCAAAATACAAAGACTTATTATCAAGGCACTTCAACCAAGAGAATACACCACAAATCTGTGTCTAAACTATATGAAAATTAATTCTGGCATCTACACAATTTAGACATAGGCACGAATGGTTACATAATTTCTCTACCAATCCTGAAATCTGTGGTAACTCTGGAATATGCTGTTTTTTTCCATATAAAATTATGTCCTGACTTAATAAATAAAATAAAAACATACAGTGTTTAAAATCTAAAATGAACAAATATTTCTGTGTGAAATAGTCTTTAGGAGAAAAATCTTATTGTGAAAATATTTTATCCTCAGTTTGATCTAAATCAACAATATTTTAAGGCTACCACTGCTCTACTGAAAAAAAAAACAAGTAAAAGCTTTTACAATCTAAAACCTTTTTTAAAGATTCTGAGGTTCCTATGAGCACTTGATGTTAGCGAAAAAGCAGCTACGAAGATTTCAATGATGATACATGGTGAAATTCTTTATTTCTGTGGGAAAATTCTATACACCAGTGGCAAAATTAGCAATATTATTTGAAGAGGCTGGTTTTGCCTATAATGTGTCCTGCTTGTCTAATGCAGCTAGACACGTTAAATTCTCTAATCATGTGACACTCCAAATGAGCTCTAGAGTTTTAATAAGTACTCATAGTTCAGTGTTAACTACAAACCTATACTTAGCTTTCACCAAATGATGAAAGGATTCAGTATTAAGAAGAATACCCTCAATTAATATTATTCAAGGTGAATATCCAATAGGAGCAGCCTACCTTGTAGTTTGCTAGATATTAAATTTTGTTCTGAAGTCCACCATGTTTTAAAAATACTGCCACTCTTGTATGAACTCAGTAATATCTGACTTTAAAAATAATTACCAGCCAGGCTCGGTGGCTCACACCTCTAATCCTAATACTATGGAGGCCAAGGTGGGAGTATTGCTTGAACCCAGGAGTTCAAGACTAGCCTGGGCAACATGGCAAAACTCCATCTCTGCAAAAAATACCAAAAATTAACCAGGCATGGTGGCATGCACCTGTAGTCCCAGCTAAGGTGGCTGAGGTGGGAGGACTGCTTGAGCCCCAGGAAGTCAAGGCTACAGTGAGCTGAGATCATACCCGTGCACTCCAACTGTGCAACAGTGAGACCCTGTCCCAAAAAGAAAACAGTTACCATTTTTGAAGTCACAAAAACTGGCCAGGCATGGTGGCTCACACCTGTAATCCCATCATTTTGGGAGGTTGAGGAGGATGGACTGCTTGAGCCCCTCAGTTTGAGACCAACTGCCTCTACCAAAAAATACAAAATTTAGTTAAGCATGGTGGTAGATGCCTGTAGTCCCCGCTACACAGGAGGCTGAAATAGGAGGACTGCCTGAGTCCAGAAAATGGAGGTTACAGTGAGCCAAGATAGCACCACTATACTCTGGCCTGGGCAACAGAGCAAGACTCTGTCTCGGAAAAAAAAAAGTAACAAAAATCATTTCATTCATTGTAGGATTATTATTCTCTGTACTATAATGCAAGGATGCAGTGCTTATTTTAGAATATGTTACATGAAATGAAGACACCATTCAGTGATACTCTAAAACCACAAAGTTTCCTGCCATTGCTTGCACTGTCAATAAAGACAGGAATGCCCAGCCGCCTCCTCCATGCCCAGTGCCAGGAACCTCTACTGGCTCACTGCACACAGGAATTATTTGAACAAATACATAAACACAAAACTTCTCAGTGACCTTTGATGCCCATAACCAAGCTGGGGAGCAGAACTGTTTAAAAACATGTTTTTTTCTTTGCCTACTGTCAACCTCACAGTTCATAAGGAATTTTACAATTATTTATTATAATTTGTTTTTGTAAGGAAGGTAGCAATTCATAAGTCTTTAAAATCTTTAAAATCTCTTTGATATTTACTGCTTTCTATTAGCAGAGACCATATACAAAATGAGCAGTTGACTCTTCCCAGCTGTTAAGAAACAACTGAGGCACTAAAAACTAATTCCTGGACACTAAATTCAGTGAGGTTAAACCCCAGGATCCCCAGAAGAAAACTCATGTTACTTCTTAAAAAGAGTATGTTCCTACTTCACCCACTACTTACTATAGCCAGCTGAAAACTGGCACATGCTGGTTAACATGCCACCAAATTCTCCCCAATTGCTCTGTTTTGTAAAACCATATTGCTGGTTATCACTTCAGCTTGTTCCAACCTGTGCCTGCCTAGCATGTCACTGCGACTAAATCCTGACCTCAACTGTCTGGATTTGAATACTTTTGAGAAAATAAAAAGCAGCAAATCCTGACCTCTGAGAACTAATGTGAGGTTTAAGCTAAGCCCTGGTGTTACTACAAACTGTTCTGACATCTACAGCTTAAACATTTCATGCTCCTGTTGAACACTCACTGAACATCGATAACACGATAACGAAAGTAGTCACTCCAAGACCATGGCAAAGTGAGACAAAACAAGGTCACTGTACAATCCACAAAATACAAAATTCTTTCTCACCAAATGAGTGACAGCTATTTCTTCAACAATTACAGCTTTATCCTCAATCTAGGTGACCCTCTCTATAAGATCTGTTGATACCCAATCATCGAATTGCCTGTTTTTTGACAGCACCCTATCCAGAGCAAGCACTCATGTCCAAAAAACTACCCAAAGCCTAAATCCTATAACACATTATAACGCCCTCTTACTAGGGACACCCCATGATTCCCTGTGGTCTGTGTTCTTTGCTGCAATGAGTAATAAATCCAACTTAACCACAGGTGTACTCTAGTGGTCTTTAGCTGAAGGGTGTTCACACTTGTGAATATGAACAGTGAAATAAAAATAGAGTAAATGTTCTAGGCTTAGAAAATGACTCTAAAACACAGCTTATTAATACATCATTCACAGGAGGGCAGCTTTGGATGATGCTGGTATGAAGATTTCTTCAGTTTTACTTTTAATGTCAAGACCATGGTAAAATGTTTTAAATGGCTGAGGTAAAGTAAAAAGCATTTAAAACTGTTAAGGCAGAGAAGAGGCCGGGCGCGGTGGCTCACGCCTATAATCCCAGCACTTTGGGAGGCCGGGGCAGGTGGATCACGAGGTCAAGAGATCGAGACCATCCTGGTCAACAAGGTGAAACACCATCTCTACTAAAAATACAAAAAATTAGCTGGGCACGGTGGTGCATGCCTGTAATTCCAGCTACTCAGGAGGCTGAGGCAGGAGAATTGCCTGAACCCAGGAGGTGGAGGTTGCAGTGAGCCAAGATCGCACCATTGCACTCCAGCCTGGGTAACAAGAGCGAAACTCCATCTCAAAAAATAAAAAAAAATAAGACAGAGGAGAAGCTTTTATAGCCAAGTTGAATAAGCTGGAGTTAATCGAGGGTCATTTTAATTGGT